ACTTCTTCAGTTCTCTGAGAGGGAGAGCAGAAAGAAGTCTATTTTCTAATCATTGTGACATTAGGCCTCCTTTCCTCTCTCCGACTTACCCATCTCTGCTCTCCCTAAAGCCATGTCCCAGAGGAGAGCACAAAGGAGGGAGCGTTGCCCCGAACGGATGGTGACGGCAGAGGCGGGCTCCATGAGGCGGGCTCCACCATGCTGACGTGGTGGCATTAAAACACTTCATATGAGACAGTTCCCCCGTCAATTTGCTAAGCATTTCTTTGGGCTAAGCATTAGAAATAGGCCATTCTGACGCCTCCACATGACACTACACAGCTCCTTCCAGTCAACTGCCCTGTCACCCAGTGACAGCACTGGGGAGGGATCCTACAATGGAGGGGCTCTGTGTGCACGTGTGTGGGGGGATCTCCCTGACTCGGAATCCAAGGTGCCAGTGGCCAGGTACCAGCCCCTCAATACAAAAGGTGTGTTAGCTCCCTTCCACTGTTTAGGTCTTCCTCCTGTGACAGCCCACACATTGAACATTTTACCACACCATATTCAATGCAAAGCACTTTGCACATATTCTCCTTGAATATTCACAAAAAGGAAGATTTTGTGAGATAAATGCAGTTTGTTGCTATCCACTTTTATACTGATAGAGCCCAGAGAGGTGGTCACATGGTCACAGAGCAAGTAAGTTTCACAGTAGGAATCTGAGTTCAGAGACCAATTCTAAAAAACTATGCTCTACTTTTATCCCTGCCTGCAGACCCAGCCTCGTCCTGTCCTCAGCCACTGCCTCCTGCTCTGACTCAGGGAGGTCTCTTTCCTACAAACTGCAGTAGCGTATTGGATCACCTCCTTAATCTCTTCCAAACAAGCAGGCCAAGCCTGCTTCAGTGTCTGCTCACATCCACTGCTACTGGATGAAGTGAACCCACTGAGCACACCATGCCCAACCAGCCCAGAATCATCTCTACCACACAGAACACATTCCCCTTGCACAGTGATCACCAGAGCCTCAGCCTGGGCACAGGCAAGCTCCCCAATCACTCAAGGCCTACCTCACAGCTGACAGCCCCTGTGAAGCCTTCCTGGCTCTCTCCCCTAAACCCCATTTCGCTAAGCAGAGCTTGTTCCTCTGTACTCAGTGCTCCAAGCACACACATCTGATATGGGATCTATACAGACTTAGAACTATGCATCCCTAAGCCTGTCTCTTTCTTTCAAGAGTCTGGGAAATCCTTAATGGCACAGACTATATTTCATACATCCTTTGAACTCTCAATGCCTAGCACTGGGCAAATATTTATTAAACAAATAAATGCCCCCATCCAAAGCAAGATCCAAGGACCAAAATCTAACTTGTGAGTCACACCTGTGCATGTGCACACGGCACATAAATATGGCAAAGCTACACGTGAGAGGCCCCTATATCAAGCAGGCCCATTTTCTAGGTTCACAGGAAACAGTGAGAAAGCCCCCAGCTGGACAGAGGACCTGGCGGGCTGGTCTGGAAACCTACACATCAGGACAAGCTTGGGGTGCTGAGGAAACACTGAGAGGTCTGACTTCCCCTGGAAAAAACTACAGAGTGCTTCAGCAGCATATACACTAAAATATGAGAGACAGGAAACACACAGGCAGGGGTGGCTGGCTTTGGAGATCAGAACATGTGCTCTTGGCCCTCTCCCACTTGGAATAACCTGCCAGTACAAAGACAATCCCTGCTAGCCTTTCTCAGGTGCCTTGGGCTTAGCCCCCAGGGAACCTCATGGTTTATCTCCTCACTACCTCAGAGGTCAAGTCCCAGCATCTCCTGCTGCTGAGCCTACCTTCTTTATCCAAGTAGCTCGTTTTCTTCTGCTACCCCCCAACCCAACTGTCACCAAAGGTGCCACCTAGAGTTATTGCTTTAGTTTCCCTAAGGTCAAGGGTGTTTTCATCTGTCACCCAAGGAGGTGAAGCATCTAGAAGAGTATCAACTGAAGAGAAGATGAAAGCCTGGGGCTCCGGAAGTCCCCAGAGACGTGCTTGGCTGCTATTCACAAAGACGTCTCCTGAGCCACTGAGCCCACAATGATCCCCCACTGAACCGTCTCAACCCAGAAGGGAAAAATGGGGAACCAAAGAAGCCGAGACTGTAATGTGGTCTGAGCAGGAATATTTTTTCCCTCACTGAGGAGCAACACAGACCACAGGGCCTGAGGCCCACGAGCAGAAGCAGCTTTGGGGAGTCATCCTGGGATTGACTAGTCAGCCAATGACCTGAGGGCTGTGTCCAGGTAAGGTGGTCACTATCACATCAGCACTATCACCTGTGGCACATTCATGCCCTGTGCTTTCATTTCCTCATTAAAATGGACCAGTCACTTGCGAGGAGTAGCCAAGAAAGCATGAAGAAAGGGCTTTGAAGCACTCAGCACGCAGTCAAGAACTGCTTTGTGGTTCACTTATGTGACTACATGCAGCATAAAAAGCTAAACACCAACCTGGTTGCTAACACACCACCAGGACAACTGGCCACAAAGCACTTTTGCATCCCTCTTCTGAGCCTAACCAGGAACCCTGAGACCAGAAGGTGCAGTCCTGCTTCCCAGTTGGAAAAGTGAGAAGGCAGAGAGTAGGAGGCCAGAAGGGTCTCCTACATGAGTGCTGTGTGCTCTCACCGCACCATACCAGCTCCCCTTCGGGGCCATTCAGGTTACAGGTACTGTGTGGTACCCTGGCAAGGTGAGCAAGAAAAGGCCAGACACTGGAGGAACTTGGACAAGAGGCTCAACTTTCTCAGAGCCTGCAGAGGACAGCAGGAAGCAGAAGCCCCCCAACAGGTGTGCCTAAGAGTAGGCACAAATGGAGCAGCTTCTGTGGGAGGTACCAGCCTTTTCACCCAGACCGTCTATGCTCTCTGTGTGTACACTCCAGGTCTCCCAAACCCCAGCTAATGATGAGACTGCTGAATTTGTACCCTTCTGGCTGGCCCAATCCATGGAGGCTGAGGTCATCAGGTCTTCGTATTCTTGCCTCCACTGCCCAAAGATCTGAGACACCACAGGCTAGATCCCCCCATCCCTTTCTGTTCAGATCTCACTTTACACACAAGAAAGTCATACCCAGGAGTGAGACGTGCAAACCATATACGTACTCTACGTAAACACTGTTCTGCATGGTAGTTGGGTGGGTGTGGGCAAAGGAGGGGTTGGGACAAAGCAAAGCCATTTCTCCTTTCTCTGGGTGGTGACCTCAGGGAACTGTGACTTTGGTCTCTGTCCTCCTTCCTTCCTGCACCTTCTCCTCCTCTTACTGACACACTCACCCTCAACATTCCAGTCCAGGATATAGAAGAGCAGCCAGAGTCTGTTACTGTTGTTGCTACTAACACCTCACACTGATCAAACACAATCTTTCAGGTGCCTGCTACAATAATGTTTCACAACCACTTTATGGATGAGGACATGAAAATGAGCTAACTGACAGGAAACCATCACTAGTAAACGTGGGTTTCGCCTTCAGGCTGCCTGTGGCCACATTCATGGTTTGAGATAGTCTGCTACCCACAAGATATGCATCTGGCAACCTTCCACAATTTGGTATAGCAAAGAGAGCACAAAATCAAGGATAAGGGAAGTGCCCGGAATCTGACGCCTGGGTCATGTTCCCAGAGCTGTTCGGCTCTCCCCAGGGTCTACCCTCCCTCCACTTTGGAATCTGGTACTTGAATCATTAACACTTCTTGCAGCTGAGAGTGCTGATGCGGGCACAGAGGAAGGAGGCTGCCGCTTAAAGTTCAGCAGCTGTGTAGAGTATGTGACTGAGGACAGCTGCTCGACGATAGACTGACCTTCCTCCCAATCTCCTCATCCCTCTACACGCAAGTACCCAAGAACATCTGTAGGCCCTTCCTTTGGGGGTGTCACTAGCTGACACCCCTTTCACCACACATACTTAGTTCTGACCTGGCTCTCTGTACCATCAGTCCCTCGGTCGCAAATACTGCATCTCCACACTTGGAAGTGGACATGGAAGGCAGACTTGGCTGCCCAATGGATCATAGCACAGGCACGTACTAAGTGGAGTAACACTGCAAGACTCGGGGTCTTTAAAAATCCCGTTTCTTCCTCCTCAGAGACCTGCACAAAAGCAGTCAAGCTCAAGCCTGGGAAGACAAAAGGGCAGGAAACCAGAGAGTAGCTGTGCCTGGCTCCCTGGTCACAGCACAGCAGGCTAGATGCCGACTGGCTGACTACTCTGAAAGGCCCCTGCTGGCCTTTCTGGAACTGGGCTCTGGAGACTGTGCTCCCAAACGCAGGAGTGGCTGACCCCTCACCAACAGTGCCTGTCCTGGCTGTGGGTGTCTGCTCATCCACACAGACCCCCAAATCCATCTTCAGAAGAAGAAAAAAGTGGGTGAGGAGGGATGCATCCACCGCTTTCTCTCAGGCTCTTCCAAACCGGAGGGGACCACCTTACTCCGCTTCCCAAGAGGAAGAGCAGGCCGCCCTGCTCCAGAATCACCCCTACCCCAACATGCGCCCAACTTCCACACAGGGGCTCGCAAAGATTCCCTTGCAAATAAAGGCCGGCCAGGCCCGGGGTGCGGGGTGTTTCACCAAGGCCGCTCTTTTGGAGAAAGGGTGGCAGGCGGTCTGGCCCCCCGTCCTGGGGCTCAGGGGACACTGCCCTGGTCCCCCAACTCTCCCCTCACCGACACCGCCGCCGGGATGTGGGGGACCCGAAGTCTAGTCAAGCCGGTCTCCAGCCCGCTAGGATTCTTAGGCCTATGGACAAAGCGCCGGGAACAACCCCCCTGGTTGGGGGAGGGGGTGTCCTGTCAGGTGACTGAGGACCCGGATGCCCCCCGCCCCCCGTAACCAGCAGGGCCCTCGCGGGGGCGGGGCCAGGAGGGGGAGGGCCCGAAAGTTTGCCCGAGAAGCCCCGACGGCTGCCGGGGCGTGCCGGCCCCCCCCAACGCCCGCGCTCCGCCGGGAGCCCCGGGGAAGGGGCGCACTTACTGGCCCCCTCGATTTTGTCCGCGCCGCGGCTCCACGTGATCTGCCGCGTCTCCAGCTTAACCTGGAAAGTCTTCCGCTCGGGCCGCTGCGACTTCTTGGAGTAGAACAAAGTCATGACGGTGCCCACTTCCAGGTTGCGGCAGAGGTTCAGCACCTCGGCGTCCGAGGGCGCGCCGGGCCCGCAGCCGTTGGAGCAGGGGGACGC